ATAGTTCATTCTATATTATATATACATTGTATATAAAGAGCAGCGGCCCTGAAAACCACTCGGCGGTGTAAAATACGGTAAATGGATATGGAAGAAAATGTTAAAAGAAAATATATACGAGTGTACATACCTATAGATATTTATATATAGTGCGTTTTATATATATATATATATAATATATATTATATACCGAGTGTATGCTGTGATTTCAAAAGTTATGTTTTTTGTTTTGTTTGTTTGTTTTTGAAACGTTATCATATCACTGCCCTCCAAGCGTTATATACATTATAAAATACATTATTTATGTATATTTTATTATATATTATACATTATATAAACATTATGGACAACATATTTCCCATTTTTTTTCCATAGGTTAACACAAAAAAAACAGGGAAACATGGCGTGCCTTTACCCCGCGTAGACACCGTATATAATTCACTACTGTATATCGCTAAAACAATAAGATAATATGGTATTGTTATTGTTATCATTATTATTATTTTTGTTAACGATTAAAAAAAACATTCTACTACTACTATTATGATTAGTGACTTTAAGATATCGAGGTAAAAACGGATTTACGAAAGTTTTTATTTTTTTCGATTTAAACGAATCTGTCGCGTCTATCTGGTGATTGCATTTTCATTAAAATTCATCACCGCAAAGACGGCACAACATTACTCGTGTACGCGGTTCTCCGTGATAAGGGTTAAATAAATCCTGAAATTAAAGCTGCCATCACTTTTCCAATTGGTACGGCTTGTCTCGTCGCCAGAACTTCTCGAAACCGCCACTAAGCCGTATAGACGTGACGATTTATTTTCGGTTTTGTCAGTACTCTTATACATCTTCCACGCATTTTTGAAATAATATGATGACGTGTAATCTATAATAAGTTTTACCGAACATTTTCAAATCTCATAATAATATATTTTCTCCGGATTATTTCGTATTTATTTCGTATATAACATACCCGAGACATCTGAAACGGATGGATTCCATTATTCATTCATTCAATAAGTTAAAAAAAAAACATTTTGCGGTCTCAATAGAGTCACGTCCAATAAAAATATAATTGCACTATTTGATTAGATGCGAAAAACATGGTAATTAAATGATCGATATTATTCGAAAAAATTCAACATAATAATAAATGCCCGCCACCACACTTAAAATATTATTGTGTAGTTCAAGTCCTTATCATCGAGCGTACGCTACGCGAGTATGTCGTATCTTTCGTCGGAGTCTGGTTATTCGAAAACTGGTGCTCGGTTCTATTTCGCTACGCTATGCCATTATCGCATGATTGTATATATAAATTATGCAGCGAAGCTCATAATCATAGTTTTTGTTTTTGAAACTTTTATTTCCGCTCGAATATCTGCAGATCGTCATCTTGTTTTACGCACGCTGCGTGCACACATATCTATTTATTATACACAACGATATTACAATGTTTTATACGACGATTCTCGTTTCCGGGGACAAACTTTGAACAACTCTGAAACGTATAATATTATAATAATAATAATATTATAATAGGGGTACTTATAGAGGCGGCGGCGGCGACGGCTATCGGAGACACCCCGCAAGTCCGGACCAGGACGACTGTATTTTGCACGAACCCGTTTTTTACCCACATTAATAATAATACAATCAAACCGCGCGAGTAATCCATTATACGCGACAAGAATCTAAAATGTTTTCTTAACGAGATTTTCTCTTCAGAGTTGCCGAGTGTTTTTTTTCTCTCTCGTAAAAGGGCATTAGATAAGAGGTGTATTATATAACTGTTATTATTATTATACACACGCACGCGCGTGGACTAGTTTCTGATAAATTGTAAAACGTTACGGCGTTGGTATTTTTCGCTATAACAATTGTTTTCCTTCTCAAAGTCTGTGATAATATGCCTGCCGCACATATTATTGACCGAAGAATACGGGCATATTTAATGATAAAGGTATCCTAAAGAGGTACAGATTTTTTTATATTCTAGTTTTTACATGATATCATTGTATTACATACCTACACGATTCAGGGATCGAAAGTTGTACCAATCATATATATTCCTATTGAACGCCTTACTTTAAAAGTTAAAACAATTTAAATGAGTTAAACATTTATTTATTTTTAAATTATAACTTTCGAGCGCCAGTAAGTGCGATTATAAAACGATAGGATCAAATTAAAACGATAGCCTGCAATAAATGGTCACCGTTATGATAACAGTTATGAGAATGGGTTTAAACTGTATATATTTCGAAACTATACCTCTTTAATTGCAGACAAGTACAAAGAAAAGTATTCCGGAAAAACGCGTTTTCCTAAGTATCGTTTTCAGAGCATTTAAGTGTAATACGCGTATGCTTTTACCGTTACTTGTGGAAAATCGTAGTCATACCACTCAACTACGACTCTCCTTATACCTATACAAATAAATATGTGCACAACCTCATCGATTCCATTTTGGACGAAATCCGGTGAATTCAATCTCACTCTTCACAATAACTTCGGGGGCCTCGCGCTTCCCGTTGTTATTGAATCCACTCAATTTCGCAAACGATTTCATTAATCATTATTTATGCGATATAATCAATCGACGAGCTGGCGTACGTTTTACAGTCACGTACACTTCGTATAATTCTCGCTCCGGGATCTCAGAGAGCCACCCGCGGTCTATCAATAATCAGCGTAGTCACCAGTCTCCTACTTCCACTCTGTTGGTCAGTCATTATAGTCATTACTATACATATACTCAAGAACTATATATACACACGTATAAAAGACGTTATGTTGTAGGTCTAAAACGGTTTTCACCCTAAAACAATTTTACCATAACTTCCAAAAGAGAGTGCTACCTACAATTTTTGTGCACCTACCTACTCTTATTTAAAAACTCGTCGAAAACATTATTATACCGGAAATTGATTCGTGTAATACTTTCTAATACTTTATTTTCAACCATGAAAATAGTTCATTTATTCAAAAAATAAAACATTCTTTATCATAAAATCAAATTATATATATTATTTTTAGTAATAGAGATTTGTTAATATTGATATTTATTAATTTTATTATATCAAACTTAAAAAATATTGAAAATGATGTTTACCAACGACTCGAAATGATTATAAAGTTGTGTATATAAATGTACTGGTTATAAATTAGTCAGTAAATAATGTGTTCTTTAAGGACATACATTTGTACTTCAAAACTTTCAATAACTATGCAATACAAAGATAACAACGTACTTCAGATACTTATTTAAATAAAAATTATTACGTCTTGATATGCAAGGTACTTTGTCCTCAGTCTGTGCTTACATACATATTATAATAACTAAATATATATAAATATAATCTAAAAGATTAATGACATCGTTGACAAATACTATTTTAATAATGTAAATTCATATTTCATGATAATAATAATAATTTATTACTTTCACTATATTACTTTTCATAATGATTTTCAATGAAAAAAAAACACGCGTACCGCGATACCGGTACAAAATGATTATACATATAAACTTTACTACTTTTAATCGATATATTATATTTATGTATATATTTACTTGTTTTAAAATGGGTTACGAACCAAGATTTTATTGAATGATAGCCAAAATAGTTTAATTGATGCGTGTACACGCATAAATAGGTATTATCTACTCTTTTTCTCTATCCCTGTCGATGAACTTTTCCTGTATTACTGTATGGTTTGTTTTTAAAGGATAAATTTCAAGAGTGCGTCTACCACCAGACTTCGTGAAATTCTCGTATAATCTATGATTTCTGTCGTAACACCAACAATGGACACAGTCCCGCTTTTTTGTAGATTATTTTATTTATTTTGTTCCACATAATTTTATACACGGTGAATGAGAAATTGTGTGTTCAAATACGTTATTACTTATTACTTAAAGTTTAAGTCTTAAACCCACACAGTTGCTACCACATGCATAATACACTTTAAACACTAGAAAAGTTGTTTCAGTAATTGTATTATCACTCCAGTTATGACGGAAAGGCTGAAAGAAAACGCACGTATACAAAATATATGAAAATGACCAATTTCCATGAATTAAAAAACTCAATGGTCTTTAAACGACTGATAAACACTCAGTGTGCACGAGTACACAAGCATTAATTATATTTTTTTTTGCCAAATAGGATTTTGACAAAAATAAAAATAAAAGTCGAAAAGCCACGAATTTTGTTAATGTAATTGTTGTGTAAAAAAAAAAACACGTATATTATATTCGTTTACATGTTGAGTGTATATAACACATGTGGTGACGTGGTTACAAAATAATAATAAAATACCTACCACGAGTACAAAATAAAACAATATATTATTGCGAGCACATTTACCCACGTTCTGACTTATAAATTGTATAAAAAAAAACTGGAAGATTAATCTGTAACAACCCGAAAATTATAACGAACATCCCCCCTAGGTCGACACGAAAGATATCGGGTGTGTCCTGAAGCGATAACATCCAATCACTCAGCAAGCGTATATTATAAATGATACATCTTTACGATGACACAAATTACCTAAATGATAATTGGGGGCTTAAGTACCAGATAAATTTTAGAGAAGAACCGTGAGTAGAGGTAATTTATTGTGCCGTCTACATTACGATTGATATTGCTATTAATAAAATCAAATTAATCATATACTTAAATCAATTACTTTTAACATTTTTATGCTAAACAAATTATTTTTATTTACCAATAAACAATAATATTACACTATAAGATATTTATTTAAAATAGTTTGGAAATTAAAGACAATATCGATGTGGTAGATGTGGATAATAGTTGATAAACGCAATACCTATTCAAACTGGACCCATAGCATTTCTAGGATTTTTAATTATTATTATTTAAGTCAACTACGAAATTAGTCCAGGGTACCAACGATGCTAAGCCATACAGCCAATAGTGATGATAGTCTAAATCAGTGTATAATATCATATTTCTTCGTTACAGGTTCGAATTGATGAGGACCTCTGCCGTGACGATGGCCACAAAGCTGACGTTGTATAACAACACTTTCAAGCGAGTGGACGGCCGCTGTTTCGTGTTGCACAACTTACACACAGTGCTGGTGCACGGTAACACATTCAATCACACCGAAGCCGAAGCATTTTACGAGTCGACCGCGTCCAGCCCGGAAACGAGATCGAGTACGAGGTCGGTGTTGCACATCAGCGACAACAATTTTCTGCGATCCGTGGCTGACGGCAAATGGTTGCCCGCTATCCAACTACAGAGGGCCGCGTTCGAGATGAACATCACCGGAAATACGTTCAACGGGTCGTGTGGCTGCGCCCCGTGGAAGTTTGTTGCCGTTACCGTGGTCAGCAACGATAACGGTTCGATGACCGACAACGATAATGGAGACACCGACTTTGCCGACCGGAACTATTACAGGGTGAACAAGGTAGAAGCAGAATGCGCCAACCTGACAGGTGCAGAGATCGACCACCTACGAATCGCACAGTTCGAGGAGGCAGCTGGATGCGACCTAGACGACGGAGCCGCGTTCGACCTGTGTGTCCGGGATCGGGTGACCGCGGCCCAGGTCAGGGGCGTTGGTAAATTCCCGTCGCTAGGCGACGTCTTATCGCCGACCGCGGAGCGCGGAGTCATCACCACGGTGGTACTGTTGGTGTTGTGCGGTTTCGGCGCTGTGTGCGCAGTAAGCGCAGTCACCTGGCTAAACGCACGGGGTTACTTCATCAAACTCCGGTCACTTCTCACACCAAACGGCGGCGTTGGCGGTGGCGGCGGCGGTACGACGTGCAGGACCATGTCAGCACACTCTTTGTCCCGGGTGTCTGTGCACGAGTACGCAGAACTGCAACGGCTCAAGTTAGGCGGCGGCGGCATCGGAAGTCGCGGCAGCGATGTGGGTGCCGTGCGGGTTATCATATACCAGGATAAGGGAACACAGACGGTACCGGAAGAACTGACGCACGAAATGTTGCAGAACCTACGCGACAAGCTGGACGATCCGGACGATTATGCAGAAGCACGGGGCATAATCGAACACCTGTACGACCTGATTCGGGTGGAGGAGACCTGCTGCGGCAGTGGCGGTGGAGGCGGTGGTTGGTACTCGACGGACGGAAGGGGACTGGACGATATGACATCCACCGTCACGACTAAGTCTGTAACCGTAGATGAAGGACCACCGCGGGACGTGAAGTCTGTGGGCACGGGTGCCCCATCCCTGGACAGACTCAGGACGCCCAGGATCAAGATGATCGGGTCGACCGGGGCGTCAACCGTAGCCACAGGATATCACCACACTCGCCGGCCGCAGCCGCCACCTTCCCCGTCGCCGTCGGTTGATAGCGATTACGTAGACCCGGTTGACTTATTGTACGGAGGCGCTGCAAATGTGAGAGACGACGAGTCATACGCTGACATCTACTGCGAACTGACCGACCTGAGATCGACCGCTGAAGACCGTCCGCCGCAGCAACCGCCACCGGTACCCGAAAAACCGACTGCTATTTAAAAGCGGCAGTGCTACCAATCACACTATCCACATAGTCGTGACGGCCATCAACTATTATTATTCCTATCGATCGATTTCGCGAGCGCTGTTATTTTTTCCAAATTTCTGTACAAGCGATCTACATACGATAACATTATTTTTCATCGATCGCATTTTTTAAAATATATATATATATATATAAATATTTTTTATTAACCTTGGTACAGTAACTACAAACCATCCGCCTGCTACCCACATAGGAATTATACACGACGAGAAACGCGTTATATTTTGTAAAAACCTATTATTATTAATATTATACTGTCATTATAATTATTGCTATTATTATTATTACTATTAGTGCGTCCACAATTTATTTATATATGTGTTTAATATATTTAAGATTACATCACAATATTTTCTATGTGATGCTTATTATTCTATCTTGTTTTAGTTTTATTTTATTGTTGTTTTTACGTGTTATTTAATATATTACACTGAATAGTTTTTTTTTTTTTTTTTATCGTGAATCAAGCAACATATTTAGGAAACATTAGGATTCAATAATTTTTTTTAATCTTATCATAAAAATTACAAAATTATAGTGATTAGAAAAATGTAAAATAGTATCGTTCTGATAAAGTTGAATAAAATATTGTTAAAACACCTCATTTTTCTTTCCTCGCCCGTCCCAATCACAATATTGCATAGGTCACGATAAAAAAAAAAAAGTCATCATGTATAATATATAATGTATTATGTATAAATAATAAATGTGTACATTAAATATTTTATACACACACTTACAAACAATACCATTATTTAAAAGAGAAAAACGAAATTATAAAATGTATAAAACGATGATTGTGATTTATTTTTAAAGAAAATACAAAAAATTATGAAAAATGAAGAAGTACTGTTGTGTATTTGTTCTCTCGGCGGACAATGACGTTTCGCGTCGTTCTCGCGCGAATGAGTTTAATTAAAACGGGATTGCCTGGACCAAGTGACGTTCATTAAAAAGCACTTGCCAAAAACGAAACCAACGACGGGAACAGTCGCACATCTGCCGTTCGGATGATGCATGACACACCGGATGCTTTAGACTTAAGGAAAATAAGAAATACAAAGCGTGAAACGTGCACGAACAAGACAACAATATTATATTATACAGTAGGAGAAAGCAAATTTTTATCCTATAAATAGTATCAAACAAATATACTTTTTTAAGTTGAAACTAAACAGCAATCTGCACACGGTAAATTTCCGTACCTTTGTAAATGAATATGAAATAAAAATTTTTATTTAAGACATTTAATTTTAAAGGCACCTATAGAGCACAATAATGTAATCATGTACATCGCAAATTTGTAAAGCACAATGGAGTATGATACTGTAGATCTATAAACTTTAAATGGATCTTCTATACACATATATATGTATATCATTATTATATTTATTATAATGTGTTAGTTGCAGGTAACAACTACAACTTTAGCAGAGAACTTTCGTTACTTTTGACTTTTTGCAGTAGGGCGTCAAAATAATGTGACAAAAAAAAAAAAAAAACGCGCATTTTAAAGACATAAAATATTACATAGCTTATTATATAGCTCCGATTGAAGCCAATCTTTTACCCACCAAATTATAAAATTTTCAAATTCTTGTCCGACATAATTTAAATAATAAATGCGTGCATAGTACGTTATACTTATGGTTATTTCGAAAGGATGCAATTTATGTTTTTTTGAAGTAGATAATGTATTTGAGTACGTATTTGTCTGTGTCTGTTGTGCGCGCAATACTTCGTTCCTCGTAAGCTCATGTAATCATGGATGTTCAACATTCGCGAATGTGTAATTCGAATACAAGCGCGCAATTATATTATTCTCAGAAATTCCTAGCTAGAAAGCTTTTATACTGTACAATATATTCTAAATTATATTTTACCAGTCCAATTCTTTGAAGTTTTGTATGATTACAGCGTTAAGCGAAAAAAAAATCATTCTATGCATTCTGTATAACGTTCAAAACCCACGACTACTCGTAAGACTCTTGAACGTTAAATAAATGTTTTGACAGGAAAACTCGATTACCTTCCAGAGTGTTTAAACACACCCAGACAATTGGCTTAAATAAAACGACTTAAAAACAAATTAATTAATTTCGAAAACTTAAGATTTATTGTGTAAGAAAACTGCAAACGTACATGTCACACATATTGAAACGAAAAATGAATATGTTTTTTATTCACTATCAAAAAATGAGCCGCACTAAATCGATGTAGTATTCAATAGTACTTTTAACGATGAAATGCGTTTAACTAGCATCAAAAATATATATGAAGTATACGATGATTTAAATAGTGTTGCTCCCATATTGATCTGTCTACAGACCGATGTTTTTATTCTAGGAATTGCAATATGAATATAAAAACTAGAACTTCATTAGATTTTTAACAATGACGCGAAATTATACACATTTTTCAAAAAATTAAATTAGGACCGTTGTAGCAACTATAAAAAGCATAGTAGAAACTCGCGTACAATATACATCAAATGTCAATGCAAATAAAACGTTTGTAACAATAAATAAAAGTGTACAAAGTTTTTATTCCGAGATTATTTTGTTATGCAAAACACAGTGTAAACGAAAACCGACGACGTTGACCCGAGCTGGGTTAAAAGAAAAACACGAAGACTTCGACACCAACGGCCCATAATCATATCCTAACGTCTGTTCGTATACTAGGAGGGGGATAAACAACTGGAAAAACTGAGTATTGACGTTTTATGTCTTACGTCCCTCTACTCAGTCCCACAATCATTTCTCTCAATCTACGAGAAGGGGTACTTTGAGTATTTTACGAAAACATGGAGAAGTTTTCGTTTCACAAAAATTATAGACCTAACAGCTAAGTAAACTATACTCCACTCCGGCTAACAAACATTTCAACAGCATCGAGTAGGCGATACATTCTACAATTCTGAATAATATAATATGTATAGCAATCCTTCGTTCAGTGCAAGACATGTACCACTTTTAGGTTTTTGTAAAAATTACTTTGATTAAAATCAAATCAAACTTTGCGAGCAATCGCCCTTCATATATATGATATATTCATGAACACTGCAGGCATTACATTATATAATATACGTTATCGCGTCTATTAAAATAATACGCCATTTCTGTACAACACTTAACTCTCGCAGTGTACGTCACTTGCATGTTACACAAACACTGTACCGAGTGTACCGACATAAATGACAAACATAATTTGGAACGAAGACTGCGCGTGTATGTATAATTAATAATAGGCACTCTCTTGCCGTCCGCCATCGAAACATACTCTAGACGAGCACGGCCGTCGACGGTTTTAGCAAACCATTCGGTATATATACAGAGTGATTCAATAAGCTCAATCACTATTATATTATACTTAAAACAATCAATTAATTCAAATTTTAATTTTTAAATTTTATAAGTATACTTAAGAGCATATTTTAAAATACCTCATTGAGTATTACTCATTAAAAGTGTTCTGTGAAAATACTAACTTCTGGATTTCAAATGAGAACTCCCCCCCCTTTTTTTTACTGGTTACTATTAAATGAATATTTTTTTAAATAATGGATATTTTTAATTATCAATATCTACAATTACTAAAACTTTCAAGTCACAGCATATCTTCTAAATTCATTATATCACGAATATATTATACTTAGTACACAAAGTAAAATAATTCAATGACCACTCGTACAAATTTTGGTTAGGATATGACAAAATGTTGATAAAAAATACACTGAATAATTTACAGTATAAAAAAAAGATTTTCATTTAAAACACAGAAGTGTGTTTGCCATAAGACACTTCATAAGTAGTACAAAGATAACAAAAATTTTAAAATAGGGTCTTTAAATATATTTAAAAATTTTGAAAATCAGACTTTGAAAATTACATTAATTAAGAAAATAAGGATAAAACATTTTTAGTGAAACACTCTGTATAATATTTTATATAGTTTAATAAACACTCCGGTCACGTACGCAAAATTAGCAAATGTAATAACAATAATAATAATAGTAAGCTGTACTCTCGGCACCGTGGGAGTGGAATCATCTGCACATAATTCGTCACTATACGTATAACACAGCAGGTTTGTTGGTTGCCGTCGTCGTCGTCGAGTCACTTTAAATATAATCCATTTTCAAGTACACACAACGGAAACAAAAGTCCCCACCACGATGGGTCAAATTCCTATTTCTCCACTAAGTTAATTTCTACGTATTTATTTTATCGGGTATACAATATATACAAAACGTATAATAATATAATATGTGCATATTGAGTTTTATCCGCCAAAAGCCTATATTATTTACTTAAGACGCACACAAATGTGGTATTCGTAAAATAATTATTACAATCATTGTAACTCTGTTGCTCTATCTTTTTATAAACTCCCTTGCCGTGTTTATACAAGCAAAATAACCGACACATAGCTACCGAGTTGACGTTAGCTTATTCAAATTTTGAGTAGCGAAATAAAAATGTAAAGTCCATGTTTTTAACGTTGAACGCAAATTAAAATATACATACATATATATATATATATATTATCTATAGTTAATATTTTCAATAAAAAAAAAGAAAAAAAAACATTTTTTTTAAATATTTTTAAATTTTTATTTTATTTTTATTTTTTATTTTTTTTAAATTCAACGTTGGTAAATAGGAATAACATCTTTAAATCAAATTTTATGGAATCTAAAAAGGTATGATACATTATATAACCCAACATGATAATAAAATTATTATCGCATGGCATAGTAATTTTAACATTCAATCACGCCATCGTCGTAGTCTACTTTTCCAGTAACTGTTATGTCAATATTATTAAAATTATTATTTTAGTATTTTGATCGCATAAACGCATACCTGTTGGTTCAATTAATCCAAACCAGTTAAATAATAGAATTACGCAAGATAATGTATAATATATAATGCAGTCCAACAATAGGCTAACGAATTAATATAGTATACAATTAAGTTTTAGCAATCAGCACGTTGTTAAAAATATAATATTAGTTATTGTATATTATGTCCCTGTTTATTTCTAAATTACTTGAAAATAATAAAAATAAATATAAATACCTAATCCATAGTTTGACAGTTTAAATAGCTTTTAAAATTGTAAAAATGGGATTTCATTCAAAATTTCTAACGCTATTGAAGAGCACAATTTAATTCGAGAAATGTTCATTGTTATAATCGAAAACTTAAATATTTGAACATTAACAGTCATAATAAATTTGTTTTTCTAAAGTAACATTTGATAATATAAGTAAACATATATTTAAAAGATAGTAAACTTCTATACTTACCATCAATTGAACGAAAACAGCCACAAGTTTTTTTTTTTTCATTAATATATCAAAACAACAATATACTACTAGCACAACGCATTATACAATAAGTTTGTTTGCCAATATTTTATAGCTGCAAGGTAAGAAAAACTATGAACAATGCTAAAAATATATATAACATAAACATGACAAAAATATATAATTAACCAGAGATTATGTTTATATATATATATATATATATAACACAGTTTTATACAAATAACAAAATGTAACAAACTGTATAAGTTTAATTTTTTTTTTTTTGTTATTGAAAAGTTTAAAGTTGTACATTATGGCGCTATGGACTTTTTAAATGAAGGCAATTTCGTGAGTTAGTGAAAAATCTTAAAGAACGAACATATTTTAGTTATAATAATCACTAATGAGCA